TCAAGTTCTCTATCTGCATTTTCATATACTGCATAAAGTGGAAATAAACTGGTATTAGGACAGCATTTTGTGAGCTTTTGATTGCATTACTTTTAATAACTGTAACATTATAGAACTGCTGGAGTTCTGTACCATATAACAAAACTCTGGCTTTTCCCTACATATTGAATTTAATGAGTTTCCTTTTTTACAAATGGTAATGCTTGAAAAGTAATTTAAAAAAAAACCCTTAAGTTGTTGAGCATAAAAATGTAGAGTATTTTTCCTCTTAAAGGAACTTGTGACTTGTGTAAATAGAGAAAAAATTTCAGGGAATGTCTTGTGATAAATACCCACCATAAAATTTATTACTTAATAACCAGGAAAAGAAACAAAACCATTACTACTAAAGTTGTGCAATTTGCACAAGCTAATATAGTGGCAGATAAGTCCTCTTACATTTTGTAGACTTGCATGTAAATGCACTCATATGTTCAGTACAGCTAAATTCAAAATACAGGAACAAAGAATACTTTCAAAGGACAGGAAGTTCTTCATGGACAACTGTGGATTCAGGTATGGTAAAAACCTTTTTAAAATAGATTAAAATTGGGTATATGTATGAAGGTTGTATAAGTTTCCTAAATTCGTGCCTGAGTCTCTGATCTCTTCCAGAATTTATGAATTATAAATATCTGCAAACTGGTAATTATATTGCAATTAAATATTTGTATTTATTTATATTCTTACTGCTTGGTTTTTAGGAGTATGGCAGAAAAATCATTAGATCAGCATTAAAAAGTGAGTGGTACCAGCAGTATACTTTCAGATGGAATCACACTTGGAGACAAGGTTGATGTCATTGTGTGGCTTGGATTGTATACTCATCTGTGGCCTGGATTCTGCAAAAGTGAAGTGGCAGAAATTCAGGAGATAAAAATTCTGAAGTATGAAGAAACAAAAAAAATGTACCATCAGTATAATAGAGAAAGGACATGAAGGCATGAAAAGTAGTTTAGATGTTGACCAGAGTAACAGGCCAGTGTTTCCTGGACTTGAGCAAGTCCCAGCTCATCAGGAAGAGTCTCTCACTGCCCCAACAGTAACTTAGAATAAACGAGACCTTGTGTCTATATTCCTGCTTGTTTCTGCAGGGATGTACACGCACAAGATGTACACGCATGAGAACAGTGTCACAAACAGAATGCAGGAAGCAGAAATTCTTAATTCTCAGCTCATCAGACAGCTCATTGCCATCTTCAGGAGAATGGAGAACTGCAATGTGCCCCAATCATTTTAGAGTTGATTGCAAGTATGAGAAGCAAAAGAGCAGAAAATCAGCTGTGAAAAGACACCACTGGGGCAGTTTTACTTGCTACTGTAGGTACACTGAAAAGGAAGAAAATGTCCTTTCAGAAACAGAACTATTTTTTAAAAGAACCTGCTTATAAAGTCTTGCATGTTAAAAAATAATTAGATCTGGCCCCTTTGAAATTTTTCAAAGGCGGGGATTATACTTAATAAATTGCAAGATAAAGCCATACGTCTAAAAAAGAATTTAAATGGTCAGGCTTTCCATTGCCTTAAGAAGACTTCTGTAGAGAACTGCCCATTTCACAGTATCATGAAGGAAAACTGGAGTGACTTGTAGGACATTGTTGATATGGTACGTGTTCATATTGGAGTACAGTATATGATATCAATAATATTCGTAGGGTCATACAAGAAATATCAAGTTACTGAAGCTATTGAATAGGAAAAAGTAAAAGCTCTGGATAGGCAGCATGACTAAATGCAGTACATGCCATGAGGAAATAAGCAAAGAATATAACAGTGAGCAAAAGTAAGGAGGTGAAGAATAGCTATGCCTTCTCTACACCATTTGCATTACAACATCACCCCTCAGGGCAGGGTTCCAAGTTGTACAGTAGGCTGAACAAAACTGGTTGTCTTAGGCTGTGACTCCACAGTTACTGTTGCTTCAATAAACCAGTACTTTTGTATATTTTTATTGTAGTTGCTAAAAATGTGTCCTGGACAACAGCATAAAAGCCTTTTTAGAAAGAAGAGCTGGAATTCTCTCTGAATCCTCATCAGCACATTGTGTGAGAAGAAAATGGCTGACAGATGAACATCCTTTTCTTGGTCATCTGTAAAGCATGGTCTAGTCATTATTACAGCAGAGTCAAAAGATGACAAGATGTAGACAGACTCAAGGCTCAAGGAGCAACTAGGATATATATTTGAGTAAAAAGACACAAAGAGTAAGCAAGTTGCTAGCACATCCCTACAAAGACAAAAGTATTTCTTGTTGGATGGGTAGTCATGATGGATGCCTGTGGATATTGTCTGCATAAGTTAATTTTTCTGGAAACCATACTCAAATATTCTGTAAACCCTCAAACACAAGCAAACCAATTTGGATACGGTGTGAGGTCTGCACCAGGGAAAGAATAAATTAATGAGTTATGGAAAAAAAATTATGTCACTGGTGTAACAATCCTCTTGAAAACAGCCTGAGTCCAAATGAAAAAGTTGCCTATCTTGTTTAAGCATTGGACAGGAAAAGTTTCAACTTGCCAAAAAGTCTAACCTTAGGACAAGCACAACTTTGACCCAAACAATTCGTTTCAAATCTCTGTACAACAGGCAGAGCAGCTCTGGTAGCTCCCTGGGGACTGGGACTTGAGTACAGCTCTTTCTCTGGATGCCTGCCTAATACTGCTTCTGACATGTGTGGTTTGCTAGTCATCAGCATGGATAACCAAAACCAACCATATGCCAAAATAAGACAGATCACTCCCTTTATGTGCCATGACTGCAAACTTCAGTATTCCATAATAATGCTTTTCTGATGAGCTATAAACACTTTGAATCAATCTTGAATACAACTGGGAAGATTTCAGAAATCCTGCTTACTTCCTGAACCAGGGATGGTGTCCTCAGGAAAAATGCAGATGCAAGTGGTATGATAAAACTGGAGGTAAATGGATGATTTACATGTTTTGCAGACTAATAAAATAGTTCTACCATAATTATACCTAATATAAAAACCTTAAGACAGTTACACACGCATTTTGCAAGGCAAAGTAGCAAGTGTAACAAAGCCAGGCGCTGTGTAACAGGTTTTGCATAACAACTCATGAAATCATCACTGCACAATTTTTAGGCAATTTTGCCACATAGCATGAGTTGTTACAAACTGTTGTATACTGTATACGGAGCTCATGATTTGCTGGCTCTGAGAGCTGAATTATTCCCAAGCTAGATAAAGAGTTATGAGTAGGAAAAAATTCAGTTGTTCTCTGAGGTGAAGAATGGAAAAGACAGCTGTTGATTAATACAATGCAGAGCTGGTCCACCCTTTAAATTCAGGGAGTGGAGTCAAACAATACCTTTGCCTCACTTCATATGGAAAATTGAATTTGTCTTTGGACTATTACTGTAAGTCAAGGGATACTCCCATCTGAAACAAAGGCTAATAATGTTGGAGGAAAGACATTCCCTGATTTCCACAGACATTGGGTGAGGCTCAAACTTTATACATGTTTGGAGTGAGCTAACTGAATACATGTGGCGGGCTGTATTTACTATTATTAAGGATTAGTATTTGGAGGCAATAAGAATATCAGAGAAAGTTTATGTCACTAAAATTTTTTACAAATGCAGAAATTCAGACCAAATACTAAAAAATCATCAAAAACATGTGCTTTTCAGCAAAAATATTCACAACCTTATGAACAATAATGAGCAGAAACCCTTTATATTTGTTAAGATTTATATATACAGATCCAGCTTCTACTTGCTTGTCTGACTGACTTTTGCCTGCATTCCTTATTTGTTAGATTTATTTTAACAAGTTAACTAGAAATAAAAGGCTTTGGAAAATTTTGGCTGCTGCAGCTGAAAAACAGCTTCTGAACTAAAGTAAATCTGTGACTCCTCAGTGAAATGAACAGGCCCCCTTCAGTCTAAACCAGCTGAGAAAGAACCCCTTTTGGGCTGTTTTCGGGAAATACTTTAATAGAATTCATTCCCACAGTAAATACAATGTCATTGTCCTGGGCTACTGAGATTAGAACAAGACTAACATACACTTTGAATTTAAAACTCTCTGGCCATCTTAATGTCTGCTTTTCTGGCAGACACAATATGCCTTTTTCTTTCCCCCCAGCAAAATCACTGTCTTTCTTTGTCTTGCCAATTTTCCCCTTACATTTTACTTAGTTTTGTTGTTGTGGGGGAAGGGAGTGGTGTCACTGAAGGAGGGTAGGTTTAGATTAGATATTAGGAAAAAATTCCTTACTGTGAGGATGATGAGACACTGGAAGAGGCTGCCCAGAGGACAGCTAGGATGGAGCCTATGAGCCACCTGGTCTGCTGGACGGTGTCCCTGCCCATGGCAGGTGTGTTGGAACTGGATGATTTCAAGGTCTCTCCATCCCAAGCCGTTCTGTGATTACCCTTGTCTTTAGTTCGGTGTCAAGCTAAGGCACGCCAGTCAGAGAAGAGGGATGCTGCGAGCGCCAGGGCGTGCGGAGGCGATCGCACGCTTGTATTCGCCTCAGGACCAAGACACCGGCGCACGGATTGTGCCTCTGCTTAAGGATCACTGCGACACCAAAGGTCTCCGGCATCGCGCTCACTGCAAATTGCTGCTTCTGACCCCTCTCACGCGTCTCCCTCCCATCAGAGGGAAAGGAAGAGGCAAAGTTTTCGATGCTTCTCGCCCGCTACGGAAGCAGGATCATCGCCACTGCGCTCCATAAGGCAACGACACCTGGCACACACCCGCCAGCACGGACAAAGACATCCCGTATTTTCCGCGGAGAATCCTCAGTAGTTTTAGCGGAAGGAGGTGAGGGCGGTGCGGACTCCCTTTCTGCCTGCCGGTGCGCTCCCCGCCAGGTGCGCTCCTCGCCCGCCAGCGACTTCCCCAGGCTGCAGCCCCCGCCCAGCCACCCGCCCGGGGCTGAGCCCGCTGTCCAGGGGAGACCATCCCGCGCCAGCCTCCTACTCACCGATCTCCCCATCATCATTGTCATCATCATTGTCATCATCCTCCTCCTCCCCCTCCTCCAGATCCAGCAGCACATCTTGGTTCTCCAGGTTCATCCTGCCGAAGTTGCGGCGCCCCGCTCCCCTGCCGCCGGGGAGCGAGCCCGCCCCGAGCCCTGCCAGCCCCGGGGGCGGAGCGGCGATGGGGGGCGGGCGGCGGGGCGGACACCGACACCTTCCCGGCAGGAGGGGCCGCCCCCTCCGCAGCCGCTGCCAGGTCCCTTCAAAGTCTTGTTAAAATGTGTCAAAATATGCACCCAAGCATTGAAGGACTCACCCCTGCTAAATACTGCTGAAAATGTGAAGCCTACATATACAAAAAGCTCCAAAGCAACAAGTAATAGTAGAGTTATTTGCAAAAGGTAACGGAAATTGAAGGGGGAATGCTCAAGGACTGAATAAAAAGCCCATCTCTAGAGCTCTAGTAATGTATTCAACTCGTTGTTGACTATTTCATAAGGAAGAGGTTGTCCTCATCTCCATCTTCGCCTCCAGACACAACCTAGGAGAATTTTGCAACACAGAGAACGCAGAATTGTCACTATGCAGGAATGCTGTGGGCAGAAGTACTTATAAAAAGGGATTGAAGTGCTCAGCAATATACTCATCTATTCACATATGTTGACTCCAGGGGCAAGTAAAGGGCTCCTAAAACTGCAGTACATCTGGAGGAGAGCTCAGATACAAACTGGACTGAGGTGCCTCGAAGTGGGAAGAAATGGAAATAAGACTGTAAAAGTGGATTGAAGAAATGGAGGAGCAATATTTGGGGAAAGGAGAAGATAAGAAGCACAAGATACAATTTGAAGTTTTTTTTCCCTGCAGAAAGCAGTAAAGACCCTATAAACAACCTATTTTCACTCTCCAGTCTATTGTTGATATAGAAATGACTCACAGCACCCACGATGTTTAAACAAGAAACTGGACGAAAACCAGATGAAAAGTTAGATAAGCTTGTTTCTTGTTAATATGGTTATCTGTTGTCAGTCAGCTGTGGTAGTGTCACATCAGGGCCTGGTATTACAGCAAGTCTAAGTGCAAGCACATTCAGCAAAAAAATGAGTTCAGAAATTTAATTGCAGAGTTTTGAAACAGCTCTGCTTGGCAAAGACCTTCTCTCATAGGCTGCTTAAAGACAGAAGTGGTCTGCAAAGGCATGAGTGAAATCATCAGAAGTTACTGCACTTGCCCTATTGAGAATGCCTCACTGGTATTATCATTATCTGCACTATCTGACACTGTGTAGATTTTTCTCACTCAGATTAGGAAAGACTCACAGAACTGAACCAGAGATGGGAGCATACCCATCTCTATGGGGGGTAATGATGCATAGCAAGATTTGTTCTTTTGTGTCCTAAGTTAGAAACCTAGTGTGCCGCCTTGTGACGCATCCAACCTACCTCTGACCATCTAAGAACGTGCCTTACTCACTTCTGTGACTGCTTGTCAGGTTTCACACTCTATGAGGTTATGGGGAGAGAGCAAATTATGTCGCTCCTAACGAGGAGTGTTCACTCCAAGATGACTCATTTGCAGACACATCATGGTTTTGGTGTGCTGCAGTAGCACATCTTTACATACCTGTATTGTGTAATATTCAGCTGCCCCCTTTTCTTGCAGGTCCTCCCCAAAATGTGGTCCTGGCTGGTGAGATCTTGTTTCATAAATGATGGGAAGAGGGCAGGGATTGTTACAGACAAGTTACAGCTTGGTTTAGGATGGTGACATGAGATTTGTGTGCTTGGATACTCTCCAGGGACATCATTGTTACCTTGGTTACATACTTCCCGTTTTCACATTTAATGAATGAAAATATAATCCAATAATAGCAAAGTTAAAAAAAGAGAGTACTTCAAAACTAGGCTTTAACAAAATGTGGGGTTTCTTTAACTTGATCCTACTAAAAGTACAGGTAGAGGATCCACCTCCTGCTCCCAGCATAAAGATTTCTTACAGCATTTACAGAACATAAAGATTTTGTAGGCTTCATTCAGCCTTCAATACCTGAATGTTCAAATTCATAGATTACAGAGCCGAGTTTTGCAGATACCTTAAAAACCAACGGGAATATTGTGTGTAAAATTCACATGAAATGCATGTATGTTGGAACATGCATAGCTGCTTGTTTTTTTGACTTTGTACCAGATGCAAATATTTCTATGTGTAGCTTTGGTAAAACACCAAAGCTTCCAAAGCTCAGTTTTGCTACTCCTGAAAAACAGATTTAAAAAGAAAAAAAAGAGTAAATTATAAAAATGCAACAGCACCACCCTGCTGCCATCTCTTTGTCAGATGGGTGATAGCAAAAGATCCACTCAAAGAATTGCAATTGGGTTAACTCTAGCCAAGTTTTTCAAAAGTCATCTGAAATGAAAAAGTTAGCCTAACTAATCCCCACCCCAGCTCAAGCGTGACTGTATTCAATTTTATTGAAGAAATAAAACTGTATTAACATTCCTGGTAGTGAGAAACAGAGATAGTACTTGGAGCCAGTGGAAAAATTGCTTCCATGGGTCAGTGTTTCATAGCAACTGTAACAATATAGGTCAGGAAGAGAGTAAAAGAGATTGTTCAGCCCAGTAGTGACAAAATTCTGGCATAGGCACCAAATTTAACTGGCATGGATCTGGGCTGGTGCCAGGAGCTCTAAGTCACAGGGCCTTTGACAAAGAATCTGGCACTGAGGATCAGAAGCTTGCTGTCAGTCACTGGTCTGGTCCAGCCCCCAGCAGTAATGTAGGTTTGAACATATCCAGACACTGGTAACAAATAGTTGCCATCATGTGCTTCACATTCTCTGGTGGGTGGAGAGTCCATGAGGCCTCCAGTTTCACTCCTGTCAATACACATTCAAAATAATTTTGCAGCATTTGAAGTTTTCTTCTTGTCCTTCTCCCACCATCTGTGAGAACAGCTGTTTGTTGTTCTCTTGATAATAACGTATTACATGTGGAAAGCTATCACCTTAATGCCACTGAAGCCTTTCTCATCCAGGTTACACAAATACAGCTCTTGTACCCTTCCAGCACATATCACTGCCTGTGCTTTCCTCTCTGTTACAAGTTAGTGTAAAAAATGTAATGTGAGAATCTATGGTAGGAAAAGGTGATACCATTTTACAAAATCTCTTAAATACATTGGCTTTACCCACTCACAGTCCTTTTCTCAATGACTGCATTTCCTTACACTCTCACATCCACACAATTACAAGAACCAACAAGTAAGTATTCAGGTGGTCTGGGCAGGGTCACTTGTGTACAACACAGAGGACCATGGAGGTCCATCCTTGGAGATACTCAAAAGTCACCTGGACAGAGTACAGGTGGTCTTCCTTTAGCAAGAGGCACAGACAAGATGAACTGCAGAGATCCCTTCCAACCTCAGCCACTCTGCAATTCTGCAATTCTGAGATTCTGTGATCCTGTGAAGGGATGCCAGGTATCAGGTCCTCATCATCTCCCCTGAGCAATGATAAACTAATTTTTGGATACAGGTGTTTTGTACCCAAGAACCAAAAATCACCATTACATGATTCTTTTGCATTGGACTTCTGCTTATTCCCACTTCCATAAATTTTAGGCAAGTCCGGTCTGAATTCCTGAAGGCCACAGTCTGTGTTATAGATGGGCTAGAAATAAAAGGAATGGTGTATGTGATTTCATGTGATATTACCTTCTTCTTTTGTTAGAGGTAGAGTCTTCTGCTAGCAGGCAACCTGTGGTCTGGTTTTACTGGAATGGTAAATGCAGGAAATAGTCCTAGATGTTTCTGTTGGGGACTATGCCCTTCCTTTTATATGAACATGGTCCATTTTTTAATTTAATAAAGTCCATTGTTATCATGCTTATGCAATTATATCCACTCATCCTTCATTTCTGCCCTCTTACTATTTCTACTACAGGTCAATACCTCTGTACACTTTGTTTCATTGCCTAACCTTTATTTTAATGTGCTGTGCTAGACAACAAATACTGTATTTCAAGTAAGAACTCACCCACAGTGAATATTACTGCTGTACCATTTTGGACGTGCTTTTCCTTCTAACATGTCCACAGCAACAATTTTTATTTTTGTCTTTCCACAGTTGTCAACTCATATTTCTCTTGCACTCTGCAATAAGTCTTAGATTAATTTCTGCAGCTGAGCTTGTTGTCAGGCAGTTTCCCGTTTTGTATTTCTGTAGTTGATTTTCTGTTCCTAAGTGGACATTTTTACCCTTGTTTTTATAATATTTCCTTATTTGATCAGTTCTTTCTCATTTTTCAAGATAATTTTGAATACGAGTGTTTTCCTTGGTGTCAGCAAACTGCTGGGGGACAAAATTCATATGGCCTAAACCACAGGTCTAGCAGAATAAAGTCCATGAGCATGTAAAAATCAAACAGTATAGGATTTGGAGGACTCACAGGTCAAGTGTGCTCCAAAAAAAAAAAAAAACACAAACACTTTGGAGGGAGTTTTGTGGGAAAGCTAGCAATTATTGAAAGATATTAAGGCCACTATGCACATGAAATTTGGGAAAAACAGTGGAGACAAGTATCACTATGTGAGGATTTCTTAAAGGATACAGGAGTTGGAGTGGTTCATCACTGTGGGATTCATTGCAGAGCAGAGAACACAGCTGTCTTTCTATTCTGCATTCTCAGTTGGAATGAAAGAAATAATTATCCCAGGGACCAAACAAAGTCTATTATTTCACATTTCATAAAACATTAGGCTTTTTAATAACTCCTGGGATATTGTGCCTTTGTGTCTGAAAGCAGGTGACTTTTACACCATTACTAAAACTTTGAAACTCAGTAGGAGAAAAGAGATCTTTGAAATGCAAAGCCTCTGCTATAATGGAAAAACAAAAGCAGAGAGAAGACAAAAACTAACTAAAGAAATAATAAATAATACATATATAAATATTACATATATTTAATAAAATGGTCATTCCCCACAAGAAATTCCCTCAAGTGCATAAAATTATTCACAAATTTGCTGCATTAAAAGTCAGTAAAAGAAAATATAGAAGAAACTTCTTCTAGTTCACCACACCATATATTTTTCCTGGTGTTGTTAGG